GGTGGGTGAATGAATAGATGGATTGATGATTGGAAAGATGGTGGGTGGATAGATGGATGTATGGATCGGTGGATAGATAGTGGGTGAATGGATAGATAAATAGACAGTTAGATAGACCAATGGATGGATATGTAGATGGATAGATGGACGGATAGATCGATGGATTAATGGGTGAATAGACTGATGTATGTAAACAAACATTTCGTTTCATTTTGTCTTATTCACAGTACAGGAAACAGATAACAGATACTTTTTCAAAGCGAACTATCAACATGCTGACAGTAACTTGAGTTAATTGTGTAAGAGGAACTTTTCTTCGCAGGTCATCATAATGAAGCAGGTCCTTTGCATAACGTCGCTCTCATCGCCGGCTCTTCCGCCTCATGCACTTTCATACTAAAGGAGTCCCTTATATCCTGTGCCCATCTTCGTGGTGGTCGGCCCCTGCCCCTCCTTCCTCGTACCATGCCTTCTGTTATTATTTTTTTTTAAATCCGTCCTGACGCTTTATATGACCAAAATATTTCAGCTTCCTTTTTCGAAGGTAACATCCGTAAAAGGTGGTGGGGGGTAGGTGGGGGGCGGGGCCTAAGGGCAATGGGTCTTTTTTTTTTTTTAAAAACCCAAAACCTGGTAGGGAACTGAGGCCCTGTTAGGGTATATTTTTTGCCTAGATAATTTGGGACCGTTATTCGGAAGATAGCCGGGGACCTACATAAGAAAAAAAATTTCCTATTTCTCTGTCATGTACTTCCTTTCAGCGTCTGCTTTTGGAGAGTCATCGACTGAGAGAGAGCCTTAGTATGTTTCCACGTACGTGCTCGTAATTACGGCCCCGGCTGTTTCAACTATCCATCACTTGCGTGGTCGACCTCTAGTTCTACTCCCACTATGTCTTAGGGTCAGGGCTCTCAGTGCTGCACTATTTGGTGGTAGTCTTGACACATGGCCGAACAATTTGATCTGTGATCTCTTAATGTAGATTAATACCGGTTCCACTCCAATGTTATTGTCGTTATTTCTGATGCTGTCTCTTTGTGTGGAGTTTAGAATTCGCCATAGACATTTCATTTCTGTTGTTTAGATGTTTTGTGTGTGTGTATGTGTCTTTTATTGCTAGTATCCATGATTGGCACCGATGATCTAATGTTGTCATTTTCCCCCGCCTGCTCGGACCCGAATCATCAACCTTCGGATCGACAAACAGAGCTTCTAGCCACTACACGACAACGGTTTCTGATCATGCGGATACACACATTTTTCTATTCCGAAAAATAGGTGGGTGGGGAGGGTGGGGGTAGGGGGGGGGGCGGGCTACGCAATCGTTGTTAAAGAGCACTGTACTAATATTAATAACGATGACACGGTGCTGAACTACCTCGAAGTTAGAGTGCACCTGCCGGTGAGGCAGGAAACGGCAAACAAATAAGGCAGTAAAACGGATGTACACGCAAAACTCAGGTCCAGGTAAAATCCAAAACTGCAAGTGGACTAACTACCGGAAATTCACAGCCGGTGAACGAGAAGAACAAGATGAAGAATAAGACTATGATGAACTTTTGTTTGCGTATTTTTGTGTATGTATGTGTGTATGGCTGTAGAATACAACCGCACTAATAATTAATTCTAATCCTCATTATCCACGGTGTTTTAGTCTTACCTTCTTGTTAATAATAATTAATTTAAACGACTGATATAATAATCTTTCTCGACATGTTCGTTTTTTCTGTATTGCCTATTTTCCATCATCATCTTGATAAGTCTGTGCCTATGTTAAAACAGATAATGGAACAGTGTGTTTACATTAAACCCACAAAAAAATATTTTATCCAAAAGCGACTATAGTGTATATATAGAAAGAAAACTAAAGAATCCTTAATTACAACAGTGACGCAACAGCCATATGATGCCAGATTCATACTTTTATAGACAGGCTGGTTCTCGATAAGTGATGTTGTTAACAGGTCACCTGTGATGTATATTTAAATTACCAAATTCAAAACGAAAAAAAAAAAAAAAGAACTATATTACAAAAATATTAATCAAAAGTAGAAGTAGGAATATACGCTTCAAGTCGATTCAACCGACATCACAGTGCTCAAGTCCTTTCCATAAGCGCTCCATTCTCATCTTCAGCAGCCAGCGCAGAGTTCCGATAGCAGTGCTACGAGTAGCATTATGATTATATGTCCGTCTTGTTTTTTCCTCTGAGTGGCGGGTATCTACCAGATCCCCTCGTTAACACTCTCTGCATCATTCTCACCAGACTGTGATGATAAATTTGCTGTTCCGAATTGTACATGTGCCCCTTTAAAGCCTTAACCACGTCATTCATTATTATTCCACCCAATTTGTCGCCTATTCATTTCCCAACACGAATATACGTCAGGGCTATAAATTATAACCTTAAAAGTATGATAAAAGTTACAATAACCGTGCTATAACAGAAAGCTGCTTCTCTGTAGTGCATGCCAAAAGTGGGGCGGCCATATCTAAACTGTCATCATGGCGTCACCTTGCTCGTCTGCATTGTGATATTACGTGCTCACAACTCTTGACATCTGTAACAACCATATTGACATGTTACAAGCCAACAGTCGAGTTATTATAATTTCCCTTACACTTTCAAGGTTTTAATTTGAACCCCACCCCTCTTAATTTGTAAACTATTAAAATGTAAAGCTTTTGGGTAAAGAAAATATTTAGACTAGAGGAGTCACAATAAACCGGACCAAAACCGTCTCTATTCTTTGCTCTTTTCCCACAAAGCTAGAACATTTTGATCTGTACCTAGATGGCAACACAGAGGAGCTGGATCGGTCATCATGCTGCAAGATAGGACCACAGCAGGAACATGCGAACCCGGAGGACTCTCAAGAAACTTCAGAGCAGAGCAGCAAGCAATTATTTATGCAACCAAAGTGCTTGAGGAAAGTAAAATAAAAAACAGCAAAATTGTTTTCCTTTGTGACTGCATGTCAGTCCTCGAGGCAACTCAGAGGAATCTACGAGACAACATCGAAAGAGAACTGACCCGCCAGCCAAACAGACTCGCAGAAAACAATCAAATCGTTCTTCGGTGAATCCCGGCTAACTGCGGTATACCAGAAATGAGTTAGCAAAAGACAGAGTTGCAAAAAAAAAAAAAAAAATTGAAGAGAGGAGAAACAAAACGCCTATTCATTGTCATTACCAGAAATCAGAACACTTATCAAAGGAAAATATAAAGAATTGTGGAGAGAACAAAATAACAGTAAACATCCACAAGACCCTATCAGCAACAAAACACAACAATTTTCTAAATACGAACACGACACTGCAGGCTTAAATACCACATGCATAAAATAAAAACGGTACAGTGCCCACAGTATGGCGCTGTCCTAGAAGCAAAAGGTATGTTGCAAAGTATCATTACCACGGTTGGCCTCTAGTCGCTGTTGTAAATGTCCAAGATTATTGTTTATTTAACTAATTCCATTTGCAATGCTGTTTATCTGTTGCTAGCCTGTGTTGACAATTTTACTGCATCATGGAGTTGGTGAAATTGCTATGTCATCAAACTAGTCAAAATAACTTACATAATACAGTTGTGCACACAGCCATAAACAATGTCAATAAATAACAAAAAGAAACATAAGTATGTCAGACAATATAATGTTTTTAATAAAAACAGGTTACTATAGGCAAAACACAAGAGAAAAAAAAGGCGCTAAACTAATATACGAAACTGACGTTACTATCATCATTGTTCAGATCCTTTGCTGAACGTCTCTCTTATTTAGTCTACTAGAGAACCTTGATGAGAAGAAATACAATCTAGAATACAATCTGGAAATAAAGTATATTATGTCCTTTAACATTTGCTAAAGTCAAAATGTTTGTCTCGCAACACCGAGATCAAATTATATAAAACATTCAAAAGACCAATTGTTTTATATGGCTCTGAAGCTCTGAGCACAACTAAAAGAGATGAAGCGTCATAACACATTTTCCAAAACAAAGTATTAGGACGAATTTTTGGACCTATCAAAGACGCAAACAGCGGGGAATGGAGAGTAAGAAGCAACGAAATTCATAATCTGTTTAAATCACCACTGATCACTTGCATGATGAGAGCTGATAGACTGAAATGGTGGGGGCACATTGAGAGAATATCAGATGAAAGAAAGGTAAAAACTTTATGCACAAGGAAACTGCAGGGACCAAAAAGACGAGGGAGAGACAAACCTGCAAACACTTGATGTCACCAACTTGAGAGAAAAGGTCAACCAGAGAGATGAGTGGAGGCAGGTGATATCTGTAGCAATGAACCTCAAGGGCTCGGAATGATGAAGAGGAAGAAAAAGAAGAAGAAGAAGAAGAAGAAGAAGAATAAAGAAGAAGAAGAAGAAGAAGAAGAAGAAGAAGAAGAAGAAGAAGAAGAAGAAGAAGAAGAAGAAGAAAGAAGAAGAAGAAGAAGAGGATGATGATGATGATGATGATGATGATGAAGAAGAAGAAGAAGAAGAAGAAGAAGAAGAAGAAGAAGAAGAAGAAGAAGAAGAAGAAGAAGAAGAAGAAGAAGAAGAAGAAGAAGAAGAAGAAGAAGAAGAAGAAGAAGAAGAAGAAGAAAAAGAAGAAGAAGAAGAAGAAGAAGAAGATGATGATGATGATGATGATGATTTACTTTAATGAGCACTGATGTCTTTAATGCCCTTTGTAAACCTTCACACTGGTCAGCCTCTGCCTCTCCTATTAGTACAGGTTTTCAAGGACTTTTCTTTCTAAGGTATGGTGATCTCATTAGCATGTCACTGAATAACCCACAACAGTTTATTTGAAATATATATATATATATATATGTTTGTGTGTGTATGTGTGTGTGGGCGCGCGTGTGTGTATGTGTCTGTGTGTGTCTGCGGGAGCGTGTGTGTACATACTATCTGCACAGTAACAGTGTTTGTTAAATAACATCAATACTTTGTCAACTGTGGAGTACAATACACACGTGGTGTTTATGATCACGAAGTAAACATGCATACAAGCCCAGTTAATATGGCAATACAAGCTTCCACAATCGTTCCAATGACATATGCTGGTTTTACACACTCATCACTTCCTCGAAAGTGAAAATGATGATCTAAAGCCGCATGTCGCTTAGGACATTTAAAAAGGATGACATAGATGGCTTTGAAAATATGAAATCTATTGACATATTTCCTGTGTTCACTGACAACCCAAAGGTTCACGCAGGACTTTGGCACATCTCCCAACAACAGTGACAAGAGCAATGAGGTGTCAGACCAAAAGCCGTAGTCTTCGCTGTCGTCCCCACAAGCTTCACAAAAGGACATGATAATCTTGAAGGCGGACAATATTAAACTAAGCACCGTACAGCAAGTCATCGCGGGAAGTTTATTCTCGTGAGCCCACTCGTGTGAATAATCATTGATGTTGTAAACGTGACTCAGGCATGCAAAATCGCAGACGATTTCAACAGCAGACGTAAGGATCTTGAAGCAGATAAACCCATGATTGCGTTCTCTTCGCATGCGCCTTATTGGAAGATAAAATCGAAGTGTTGAAATTATTATTTAACAACTTTAATATGCAATCTTCTTTTCATTATCTTTCAACATGTCTCTATTTGATTTTTTTTTCACTGTTTTATACTGAAAAGCTCCACAGACTGGTTCACGGTCTGACGTATACATTACCACACTCAGAAAAGAATAAAGCCAGTCTTACAGGTCATCAAAAAACAACAAATGAAGTGGTTTGGACACCTAACAAGAAAACCCTGGTACTATATGCCACAGCGAGCCACACTAAAACGTTACAACGGGTATAGAGCGAGTGGAAGACCTTGGAAAATGTGGAATGATGGCATGAAGAACAGCTTTACACAAATGAACATGTCTTAATAGTGCTTTTGACAGAGCTCATCAACGTATTATGTCACATCTTCCCCCGACACTTCGATGAGGTACAAGGTGGAAGAGAAAAAGAAGGAGAAAAAGAAGAAGAGAAGAGAAGACTGGAAGCTGATGACAGAAAAATGATGGTGCTGGACTAGTATTTTAGTAGATGATTATGACTTGATGTATGATGTAAATATCTTTTCAGCAGCCTTTTAACATTTCCTTGCATTTATTTCATTCTCAGTGGACCCAAATGCCGCTGACGTTGAATAGAACATACGCTGAGAAAATATAACTAGAGTGTCTATACACTGGAACTGACATGGGACATAGAAATAAAAGCAGATCATGAAAACACGCAAGGAAAAGACAGCAACTGAATTAAATTACAAACGCTGTAAAAAATAGGTGGCGAGCTGTACGATAGCAAGGGATAGATAGGCGTGTCCTGAATTCGTTGAGGGCCTTTTTTTATGGGATACATTACAAATAAATAAAGAATGCAGATGACTTAGACGTCCTAGTTAAATTATTGAAACCCTCTCTGAAGCGTATCTGAACCTAGACCATCAGGAAAACGTCTATCACTGAGTTTCCACGGCTTCTCCATTTAGCTGTATACTTTAATTAAAGATAACGAAATCAGCAGTCGTGTGTTTGAAAAAAAAAATTTGAATTGGATAGTTAATCAGGAATAGTGTAAACATCGATAGCAAAGTTATAGCAAAGACATTAAAAAGTGAGGGTAATAAAGGAATAATAATGGTGGAGACTGTCAGAATCAAAATAATACTGGTATTACCTGAAAGCAGCAACAAAATAAAAGTCAGTGAGAGTGAAAGTAATAAAAGACAGGTGGCAGTAACCGAAATTGTTACTTCTATAAGCTTAGTTCTGAGCGGTGTTTTCTCATTCTATTTTGTTGTAGACCATCATCAAAAATTTTAAAAAATAACCTTACACAAACAGGGACATGAAGTAGAAGAGCTGACAGACATCTTGGTGGTGCAGAATTGTGCTGACTAAGAAAATACAAGCAGTTTGAAGGGCTGACGGAGAGAGACAGAGAGAGAGAGAGAGAGAGAGAGAGAGAGAGAGAGAGAGAGAGAGAGAGAAAGAGAGAGAATGAGACAGGAAGGAGGGGAGAGAGAAAGGAGAGAGAAAGAGAACGTACTAACTTTATTTCCACAAAAGGTCACAAACTGAACACGCAGACCCGTTTTAAATTTGGCACAAAAGCGTGGCTAGTAAAATACATGTGAATATTCACGCACGCGCGCGCGCACACATATAGGGCTAGACGTATATTTTCTATAGCGAGCGACACTTGATGGGTGATGTTGTCACCATCACGCCGGCTGTCTTTACTTCCCAGGACCGCATATCGTACTCATTCAAGGCTGGGTCGACCTGAGAGCGAAGGACATTCTCTGAAAAATGTGTGACTCCGTCAGGATCCGAACCTGCTACCTGCCGATCCGCAGGCGAGCACATTTCATATAGATGAAGAATAAAACGCTTAGCGAATTCTGTCTTTTAATCTAGAGCCAAAATCAAAGATTCCGACACCTAATTATTGTTGTGGCAAGTCTATTTCTAATTTTCGCTAACACTTTACATTATCGCTAATTACTAAATTATGTTATACAATTTTGTAACATTCATTATTTCTTCATCGTTATTTAATCAAACATGAAATACACTATCAAGTTTACCAATAATTTACCTGGCATACATATTGTACCTGGTGATACGCACAGCTCTGGTGACAGATGCAAGCGTAGTCAACAATTAACAAAGTGTGCTGTGGACAGAATCTGACGGACAGCTTCACTTTCAGTTTCCCAGATTTGCAATAGGAATAAACTCACAGGGAGCAAGTACAGCAGGGATCTACCAGTCGTCAGTAGAAATTATCCTCGTTGACAAGCGTTTCGGCCCACTATTCCTAGACGCTTTCGGAGGTGGGCCCACCTGAGTTCATGAAGCTCAGCTTCACTTTCAGTTTCCCAGATTTGCAAATTTTTACCTGGAAATCTTACGTGTGGGCTTGGAAACTTACAGAAATAGTGGGGATACAAGTATATAGATTTAGGAAGCGATTGCCTAATAAGTATATTTATAACCGTTGTGCAAGATGTAGATCTGTAGAAACAAACACACAAAAAAAAAGCCTATCCTGTCATTTCAACTGCACACATCTTTAGATGCATTAGTTACCACAGTCACCGTTCAGAGAGCAATGGCAAACTACTAAACGTTTAAATTGCCTTAAAAAACACAACAAGGAAAACCTGCTGTTGTTGGTTGTGCAACGCCCTGTAAAGGATACGCAACTTCACCAAGGTTATTGCGCTTCTTCATTTACAGGAATGGACGATATGATTGTGATGTAATACCACAGGTCTGCGTTTCTCAACGTTTTACTCACTGAGCCCTTGTAGAACATATTTTCATAGCGGAGCACCTTGGGCCTACCAAACCACATATCTGACAAGTTATCAATGGATAGACAAACTATACAGCCTTACAGAAATGAACATCAGTCTTAATAGTACTCTTGATAGAGCTCATCAACGAACATTACGTCGCCGAAACGTTGCTCCAGCCAATGGTCCTGATCTGTTCCAGAAACTCTAGGAAGAGCAGGCAGCCAGGAGATGCCAGTCACTGATCCACGCAGAGGAGGCCACACACCATGCTAATGGGAAAGGCCTACGCTTAAAAACAGTCGTGACCCAAATTTAAAGAAAAAAAGGTGTAAAATAATTGGTGCAACCCTAAGGTATTCTTGTGTAAAATTTAAATAATTTCTCTCACTGTATTAAAAGATGAAGAATGTCAAAATTGTGAGTATTTAGTTTACATTTTATTATTTGAACATAACATGTTTTATTTTTAAAACACTGCTGCTGTGTGAAAGATAAGTGCTTGGAAGGGCCTAATTTAGGCCAGACGGCGTGCCCAATTTGTGACCCTTTAAAAATAAAATTCTTTGGTTCGTTCCTCTTCTTCTTGTTCTCCTTTTTCTTCTTGCTGAGGAAGCAGTGGGTCTTGTTTTCACTACAATGGAGTTCCGTAGCCCAGACGGGGATAGTTTTGTATTTAAGCAGCTTCTGCAGTTGGCTTTGATAGCTGTAAAATCGAAGAATCCCCTTTCAAATAGAGATGGTTTAGAGTAAGTATATAGTCTGTCTGTCTTGCCTACGATAATGTTGGAGCTAGTGGAAGCACAATGACCAAACTTCTACTAAAAGATGTGTGAAATTCAGGTTGCCAAATTTCCTTTCTGACTATTACGTTTAGTTTTATTATTTTGAAGTCGCTTTTTGTTATCAGGTATTCTTTCTGGGGAAAAAATGATAATAGGTTGGTGACATTTATCCTTTAATGCATTTCTGCAAATATTTCCTCCTTTTTGCGTGACGTTCGTTTATTTCTTGATGGTATCTTCCCAATTGTATTGCTGTCAACTCCTTTCTTGCCTTTATCTTTTCCTCTATTTGGTTAAAAAAAAAAAATAGATTTAAAAGCTTTTTAACTTACACAAACATTTTCTTTGATAGAGAATTAAAGAAAATAAAAATCATACTAATATCTTTTCAATGTTTAATGTATTTAATTCAAATTATGAAAATTAAAAATTCCAACTGCGTGTTACGTAAATAACTCCTAGAGCAAATGACGCCTCCACAAGCATCCCAGTGACATATACAGCTTTCACACACATTCTCTCATGAAAGTGATGCCGTAGCGCATATATTCTCTTGCTGCATTTACACAGAAGCACAAAAGCAGCCTTCAGTAACATCAATCTCGGCACGGTGTTCTTGAGTCCATTGATAATCGCGAAGCTGGCCCAGGACTTTGGTACATCTCCAGCCCACAGTGACAGGAACAAAGAGATGTCAGAAATACAGCTGGTTCTGGTTCCTTCTTCAGTGGTCCCACAGGATTCAGAGCAGGACATGATCATCTTAAAGACAGTTAAAAATATGCTCCACCATGTTAAGCGATTCAAAACTGTGAAGTCGTATTCGTGCTCTGATCTATGCGAATAATCCCTGGTACTGGAAACGAAAAACAGAAGTGCACAGTCCAAGATGCACTCGACTAGGGCGATAACGATCTTGCATGCGATGAAACATCCCGTCTTTTCTGTCGCAGACCTTATAGGAATATAGAATCAGTGACATAAGTATTAAATGTCAAAATAGAGAATTTCAGGTCATAATGAAACATAGTCAGACAGCAGGTAGAGCATACTACATAAAAATAGCAGGAAGTAGGGCCTAGCAAGAGATTGACTTATCTTCCCATTCATAAGATGCCGTATCGCAGGGCTTGTCCTATGTTGCGGGGAGGGGGTAGCAAGATTTTAAAAAAAGGTAGTGGGGTGTCCCGTTTAGTGACAGGCCACTACAAAAGAAAAAGTTTCTTCACACCCCCCCCCCCCCCCCCCACCCAATCATTTATGCACTTTAATTTACAAATGCATCTCAGCCGACGTATTTTGAGTTCTAATGTTATATCAGTTTAAACATATATATGCCAGTGACAGTTTGAGAACTACTAAAGATGAGAACTACTAAAGATGAGAACTACTAAAGATGAGAACTACTAAAGACATGAAACAAAAGTTTAATGCATTCAATAACAAATGCTTAAGGAAAATAATAAACATAACATGAGATGAATTCAAGGGTGAAGAAATGAGAAAAACAATATCTGGGAAACAACCGGATCAACTTTGATAAGACAGACGAGAAAGCCACTATTTTGGACACATTCTGATAAGAGACAAACATCATCAAACAAGCACTGAAATGGGAAGTAGATGATTGAGGAAAAGAAGACGGTCAAGAGAAACCTTAATATGAAAGTTAGTCAGAGAAGCAAAGGGTGCTGGACTGAATTCTCAGAGAAGCCAAGGGTGCTGGACTGAATTCTCAGAGAAGCCAAGGGTGCTGGACTGAATTCTCCTAATATTGATTGATAATGACTATTTAATAAGGTGATTACAATAATTAAAAAAAAAATTACCCATGATTATCAAGCTTCCCTACAACTTCCCTGTTTTAAAGATGTGCTCAATTTTTCGCATTCCGCATTCTTACAAGTGCCCACAGAGCGTGAATTGACTTACGGGGGTAATTGGTTTTACTTAAGAGTTAATTTTTAGACACAATCAGAAATGACTGATTTTTACAGCGGAATAATTTGCAAAACATTTTCGGCAGGTGTGCAGACATAAAGAAAATAATATGGGTAGGATCTAGAGGCAGTGGTCTTCCTTCTCTGATACATTTTCTGAGTCGGGAGAGGACCCAAACAACTCACAAATTAAGCACATAGTAATTACAATAATAATAATATTAATAATATGATAATGATATCGATGATGATATGTTGTAAACTTATGGTAATATTTTTCAAATTATGGTACTACAACTCACGACGTCGGGCCAGAAAGAGAGTGACTACCCTTCCCATTCATGAATCGCCGTGTCGCAGGACTTGTCCTATGTTGTGGGGAGTGTATCTTTTAGTGACCGGCCACCAACACGTAGCATTTTACTAGTTGTTGTCAGCAGCCGGTGATATCGCCTGTTCTATCAAACAGGATGTGAGTGCTTTTAACGGCACCGAAACATGCAGAACTGGTCTTAACTCGAAGTATATCCTCCCCCTCCCACGTCCCACAAGGAAGCACAACCTACGTCCCATATTAAATTAATATATTATGGTCACCCTAGACTAGGGTGAAAATGTTTCTTTACTTACTGCCCCAGATAACACGAATAATGCATGTTAGTCATCATCATCATCATCGTCATCATCATTAACCACTTCTGCCGTTAAGCGACGTGGGGAGGAATAATTTGCGATTCAGTACACGTTGGCTGCCATTGGCTATTGTCGTGCCGTGAAGGCGTAGAGTGTCTTTAATGTTGTCGATCCATTTTACTGCGACCGTCCTCTTGCTCTTGTAGCTGATCTTCTGAGATGTAGTGCTTGTGATCGTATTTGATCTTGCTGCATTCTAACGAGATGGCCAAACCACTTCATCTGCTGTTTCTCGATGAATCTAGTACAAGATGTTGTTTTATGCATGTTAGTTAATTAGGAAATAACTTACTTTGTTTGCTTCTTGTTCATTGTGAAGTAAAACTCTCCGTCCAATACAGTGTTAGCTTCTTAAACAGTAGACTAAAGTGTCTACCGGAAAAATGTAAATACTTTTTGTCCTGTGTGTAGGTTTCACTTTCATTCTGGTTTCGTTTTGTAAATGTTTACAAAGAATTCTGAATTTAGCCTGAATACTCGCACACGTGTCATGCATGTTGTTACATAGTTTCATGAATGGGTTACACATATATTTATTTATAAATGTTGTGCAACATGTAAATGTTTTTTGTGTGTGGAATAAACTGTGCTTTTCTTTCAATGCAATAAAAAGACAGTATATTTACTTTCTTTTTTTCCGTCCTGTCTACATTTGTTCTTCCTACATAGTTTCTTTCCTTCTTTCTTTCTTTCTTTCTTTCTTTCTTTCTTTCTTTCTTTCTTTCTTTCTTTCTTTCTTTCTTTCTTTCTTTCTTTCTTTCTTTCTTTCTTTCTTTCTTTCTTTCTTTCTTTCTTTCTTTCTTTCTTTCTTTCTTTCTTTCTTTCTTTCTTTCTTTCTTTCTTTCTTTCTTTCTTTCTTTCTTTCTTTCTTTCTTTCTTTCTTTCTTTTT